TTATAACTTGAGGAACAAATGAATCTTATGAAACTTACCCCCAAAACTTCCTTGAGCTTTTTGTTTACGATCTCTCTACCTTCGGATATATCTTGATGCATTGCGGCCATATCTGGTGACCTAAAACATACTAGAAATATTGCGGTATAGTCCTTGAGATCTATAGTTGCATATAAAAGAATATACTACATGTACCCTAAAATGTAAGGAATTGTGAGCTTTGGAGGCAATGTATCTCCAAAGATACCAGATTCTTGAGACATTCTTAGCAACACTCTTCTCACTATCTCCCCTAAGTATCCACCAGACACCAACTTCTCAAATACCTTGAAACAGAGGAAAACAAAAATCTCAAAAATACAAATTTGTACGGAAAAAACCATCAGACAACTTATCGATATTCGTTCTTACTCGGCTTCCGGGATTAAAGCTTTCCGCATCAAGAGCACCATCGAATTCGGTTACAGGAAGATGGCAAGATCTGAAATCTCCCCACTCTGTGCTAATAACCTACAATCTTATAATGCACAACCCCTTGATCATAAATGTGTAAGCTTTATTATGATAATGGACCAAATGTATTGAAAGTATATGTACATACGATCGCTTGTGGCTCGGATATCGCGGATTTCCATTTCGAAATATCTTGAGCTTGTTCGATATAAGCAGCGTTAGTTCCCATACCTAAAGTAACTGAAGCTACAGTGTCCTTGTGATAGTACCTTCCTCCAGCCAACACTCCTATTGTATCATCCACCTGATCAAATAATGAAATTCACATCAAATCATCAAACAAAAAAAGCCCGAGTATTTGATCATTTTTCAAGCCCGCTTACCATCGCGGTGTTCATCCGAATCTTCAGACCGTGTCGCTCCAATGATTCATTCATATCATTCACAAACTCCTTCAAAACCGTGTCATCATGATCATCTGCTAAACTTTTCCTCCGTATCGCCGAGACTGAACCTGGCCCAATCTGTTCAACAGTGCGCGTCAACGTAAACCCGAAATTCTTCACTTCTTCTGTTTCTTCGCCGGGATTCATTGCAAGAAATTTAACTAGCTCCAAGGATATGTAATCGCACAACCCCTGAATCCACAAAGAAAACTTCAGCTTCAAATAACCTAACGTGTAATCCAAGAACCGTGTATCTATCTATCTATACCTTGAAAGAACCATTCAAAACATCGTCAGGGATCGGAATCTCCTGCTTCTGGACATCGGTAATCGGCTCTTCATTACCTCCTAATGTCCCACGTAACAGTAAAAGTTCCTTGCCTCGCAAGTTAACTCCATAGTGTACTCCTTTCTCATCCCTATAAAGTTGAAAAAAAAAAAACCGTTAATTAACGGTCAGACTAAAACAGAGGACTCTGATTTTAGGGTTTATTTTACCCCGAAGGTAAAGAACCGGCGAATGAAACGAGCATGTTGAGTGAACCGGAACTCTCGGTGGCGGTGGCGGCTAGAGAGGCGGTCATGTCGGCGACCAAATCTTCTGCCACCGCCCAGAGTTTCCATACTGGTGCGGCGCATTCTCTAGCGAATTTCTTCAAAATCCTCTGTGTCTGTTTCCGCCGTCGCTCCTTCCTCTGCAACCACTGACCAATTAGTACAGCCGCTGCAACCGCTGTGACCGTTGCAGCCGTCACGGCCACAACCACTTCATTTCTGGTCATTTTTCTCTATGGAGTTTTCTTTTTTCCTATCTCCGATTAACACAATAACGATCTCACGAAGATAAGATTGATACATTCTCTTGTTAGCATGTTTTGCGTATCAAGTTGAATCATTCAATCTATTTTTTTTTTTTTTTCTATAAATATGATTAAAATTTGGTCTGGTTTCAGTTTCTTAGGTTAAAAATCTTCGGCCCTTATAAACGGTAATATTACTCTTGATTTGATTAAGTCAAAATGTTATAATATTACTCTTGATTATGAAAAAAACTGCAACTAAAAACTCTTTCAAACCAATAATTGATCAACCATAACTACCAATAATAAACCAAGAATCAAATTACAAATTTCGAGAAACTATACAACTATTGCAAGTCTTATGTACTTGACGATATCCACACTAGGTCGAGATTGTTCATTCGAAACAAATTTTAATCTATCATTAAAAAAAAGGTTTTCATTTTGAATTAGTTTATTAGTTATCAACTTATCATCATTTGTCATTTTTTTTTGTTCCAGTTTTGTGACTCCATCTCTATAAAGGAATTGACCCCTACAAAAGCATGTTGAATTAATCTGTTACAAAAAAAAAAAAAAAGATTCAGGTCCGAGCTTGACATAAAAATCCAACAAACCAGAGTTTAAGACAACAAACTATATAAAAAAAGTTTTAGGATATCATTTTTGTAAAGTCGATTGTAGTACAGTAGTTAAACACACCCTTCAATGTTCTTGAATTGGATCCTAATCTTGCAATTTTTGTGACATTTAAAAAAAAAAAAAAAATTACAAATTAGCCCATAAACTCTTCGGGCCGAGCCTGGATAGACTTGTCTACTCTTAGGATTAGTTTAATTGTTTAAATCGGGTGAGATTATGTTATATTCCTAGTTCTGACTTCTGAACCCTAATCCGTTGTTTGCTAGATAAGTCAGATTAACCATGATTGGAAAAAATGTACTCTGTTTTAAAATATAAGTTGTTTTGATTAAAAGTATGAATATTAAAAAACTATTTTTCTTCTAAAAAGTATCATCTTATATATATAATAAAAATAATTTAACCAATGAAAAAANCNACTNNAAAATACTATTGNTNACACANTAGTCAATAAANTTAAAATATANNTANNATTATCAAAACAACTTATATTTTGAAACATAAAAAATCTCCGAAAACAATTTATATTTTAAAACTGAGTATTAAAACTCAAAAACGTATACCAATCGTGTACGAGCAATTAATGACCATAAGGCATAAGTTATGGGGTAATTGTGTACACGTGACATCACGTGATGTAGGTGTGGCACAAATGGTGCGATTTGTCCCTCGGAGGCTTCGAGGCTAATGGATAATTTCAATTTTCGATGGAACGAAACTCGGTTATAAATTTTTTTTATAACCGTTAAGATTTAAATTACTGAATATTTGAAATATACTTAAATGTGTGTGTTTAACAAAAAAAAAATGTGTGAAAAATAGCTGATATTGTTATTATAACCAAAATTATGAGTAGAACTAGAAAACAATTTGAAACGGAAAAAAGGAAAATTTCGCAGCATAGCCGTACTGGTGAATTTTAATTACGCTATATTTCAATCTTATATTGTTTTGGAAAATTAGTATGGATAAATATAAAAAAAAACCATATCTAATAATCTAAGAAAAAATATATATGTGGTCAATTCCTAATCACTAAAATTAGAGTTTTTAGTTAGAATATTAGATAGTTTTTTTTTATAGTTATATCACCAATTGACCCTATTTTTTTCTTTATTATATTACAAACATAATACATGTTCACAAACATTTATTATATTGGTACACCGAGTATGTGAATAGGTACATCTTTCATTTTACAATACATCATCAAAAAACATTGTACATTTACAAACATTGATTATATATGTATGTACACTGGTTATGTGCATAGGCACATCATACATAGGTAGTCGAAGGTATATATATACACCAACACACGATTATCATATTCAAACACATGTAGGCGAAAGTACATCAGATTCCCGTACATCCAGTGGTACATGTCCATAGGTACGCGCATTTGTATAAATCAAATTCTGAAATATCTGATCACCATATACGCACTCTCTCTTGGACAGAGACAAGTCTTTCGGTACATTAGAGTGAAAACAAATTTTTGATAGTGCTATATGGTGTAATAAGTTTATTAAAAAGTGCTATTTTAGTAAAAACTTAAAAAAGAGTAGCGAAAATCCTTGTAAATTGAAACGGAGAGAAATTTGATTTTATTTTTTTTTATTGAAATGTGAATTATATATAACTGTCGGTGAAAACAAAATATTCATTTTTTTGTCATTCAATGTTGTTTTCTGACCATGGCACGTTAACATATAGATTCACATCTCCATTATATAGGCTATTACTTTTATAAAAATGATGATACATATATGGAGCAAAGTGATCCGGGTTCACATTGATAGATAGTCCAATAATTTTGGAAATTTCCCACGTTTTCTATTTCATTTTTTATATATTCCAAATAGTACTTCCCCATTTTTTGACCTATTAGGAACTTTTGTTATTATTTCAAAAATAGAAAAGGATTGGCTACTTTAGTACGTGATAATAGAGCGGGTCGTCATGCCATGTGGATATCGACATTTAGCCTATACATATACACATATTTAATTAGATAATAGTTGATAAAAAAATAATAAAAAATAGAGGATAATGTAATTATAGTTTTCTGTGATTGGTGATTAGGTTTTAACTAAAAAATGTTCTCCATTTGAAAGCAACTATAGTCCCATGAAACATGTGATTCTCTCTTGCAGCTTACATCACAACGATTAACCTTTTTTTTTACAGAATATTGCTATAGATTAGCTACCAAAATTTAGTTTTGTCGCAAGGAAATAACGAAGAAATAGTGAAAATGTAAAAAAGAAAAATTAAAACATGTCGACATGTTACAAATTAGCTACCGAAAATCTATGGAAATGAATAATTGTATGTTTTCCCTCACAAACTCATTGCTAAAACTAAATATAACTCCATTTTTAACTAGGCTATAATTTGACCAAAAAATAATATGTTATGATCTTATGTGTAGATGTTTACTAACTCTTTCTACAATAAACCATTGTCTATCGTGCCATGTCTAATTAAGGACGGGCATATGTTATGAGTGTTGGTGGGTCAACACAAATTATAGTGAGAAGGAAAGAAGAAAAGGCGTTGAGATATAAGAATGGATCAACCAATCAAACTAACTTCAAATATATTAATAAATTTCGTTGATATTCACTATTTATTAATGTAACCAACGAATGCTATAAACTCTTCATAACATTGATGAGACGTAACTCTTTCCATACTAGTGACTTGCCCATTTCAAGTTGGGTTTGAAAGTTTCTTTCTCTAGCTAGTCTTAATCT